AGACACCAGAAATAAGAAAGGAGACTGATACATCGACACCAGAACGGAAAGAAGAAGAAGAAGACGGCAGTGAAGAAGAATCCCCGACAGAAATCAACTTGATGAAGAAGAAGAGAAAAAGAGCGAGGAAAAAATCACCAAGAGTGCCACACCGACTTGATGACCCAGGAGAGACTGTGAAAGGAGCCGAAAATAAGGTAATAATAAGGAAACTTAAATGGATCAAAGAATTAAGATAATAACCCAGAATGTTAATGGACTTAACTCCCCAAGTAAGAGAAAGAAAATTTGGCATGGACTAAATAAGGAGAAATGTGAAATAACGTGTATACAAGAAACTCATATTATGGGGAAACATGCTGCTTACTTGGAACAGAGTAGACTAGGAAAACTATTTTACGCATGTAGCGGGGGAAAAAAAAGAGGGGTCGCTTCGTATGTTAGGGAGAAATTGACCCCAGAACTAGCCTTTAAGGACGGGGAGGGAAGAATTCTGGGAGTCATGGTAAACATAAATGGAGTTAAAACACTTGTATGCAACATATATGCACCTAATGGAGGGAAGGTGAAATTCACACAAACATTAAGAAATTACGTAGTAGGGCAAGAGTACGATGAATTGTTGATCATGGGAGATTTTAATGGGGTCCTGGACAACCAGAAAGATAAGACAGTCAAAGAAGGACGAAGTTGTACAGGTACAACAGGGATCCTCCCAAGATCCTGCACTCAACTACTATCAGAACTGGAGCTGGTAGATATATGGAGACTACAGCATAAATATGAGTCTAATTACACCTTCTTCTCCAATCGCCATCAAACATGGTCGCGTATCGACATGATATGGTGCACGAAATCATTAGCAGACAAGGTAGAGAAATCTAAAATTCTCCCAATTTTAACATCAGACCACGCCCCAGTCCTATTGACAATCCAAGACAATAAAAGGGAAGGAACAACGTACAATTGGATACTGAATGAACATCTAATTAAAGGAGAGTCTAACCAAAAGAGATATAATGGATTAATAAAAGAATTTTTTACTTTCAATAAGGAAAAAGACACCGCCTTAGAGGTTATCTGGGATGCCTCTAAAGCTTATATGAGAGGACAATTTATTGAACATGCGGCTAGAGAAAAGAAAAGGAAAAAAACAGAGTATGAGAAACTTAGGACAGACCTAGAACAAACGGAAAAACAAGCAAAACTGAACCCTCTAAATAAAAAATTGCAATACCAAACAGACCTATTAAGGAAACAATTAAACACCTTAGACTTAGAAGAGATGGAAAAAAACTAAAATACGTAAAGCAAGAATATTTCGAAAAGGCTAATAAAGTAGGTAAGTGGTTGGCTAGGAAACTAGCCACAAAAAGACAATCCCGTAGAATAACCCAGATAGTAGAAGAAGGAGAAACTTTCCATAAAACACCGGAAATATTAGAAAAGTTTGTAATATACTATAAAAAGCTATATACAGAAGAGTCGATACCAAAAGAAGAAGTGATGCAATATTTGGGCAGACAGAAGATAACTAAAATAACCGAAACCCAAAGAGAAAAATTAAATAGGAAAATTACGAAGGAAGAGCTACAAAAAACCATAAAGAACCTACCACTACACAAAGCACCTGGCCCAGATGGGTTCACTACAATATATTATAAAACCTTTATAGAGCACCTAACTAACCCCCTTATGAATGTGATGAACAAGGTACTAGAAGAGGGCGTAATCCCGGATACATGGAAATTAGCCAACATAACCTTAATACATAAAGAGGGTACAGACAGTACTAAGACCAAAAATTATAGACCAATTTCTCTCCTCAACAATGACTATAAAATATTTACCAGCATCCTTGGAAATAGATTGAAAGAGATATTGTCAGACAGGATAGAGGAAGAACAAAAAGGCTTTTTACCAAGGCGCCAAATAAGGGAGAACATAAGGATAATACTGGATGCAATCGAGTATTATGACAAAAATATTAACAAAGAAGTGGCATTCCTCTTCCTGGACGTTCGACAACGTCAATTGGTTCTTTATCAAAGAAACGTTAAAAGAGATGGATACGGGATACAACTTTAATAAAGCAATAGAAGCCCTTTATTCACAGCAATTGACAAGAATAGTGATCAACGGTCAGTCGTCTCCGAGGTTTAACATCGAAAAAGGAACCAGACAGGGTTGCCCCCTATCTCCCCTTATTTTTATCCTAACTTTAGAATTATTATTAAACAATATAAGAAAGAATGAAAGCCTAAAAGGTCTAAATATAAAGAACTACAGGTTCAAGATACGAGCTTTCGCAGACGACATTGTATGTGTGATGGAAGATCCTCTTAACACAATGGAAAATTGGTGGCAGGAATTGGAAGCTTATGGCTCTGTGACAGGGTTTAGAATCAACAAAGTGAAAACTCAAATGTTGATAAAAAATATTAATAGAAAAAAAGAAGAAGAACTCCGAAAAAGAACTGAAGTTAGAATAGTCCAAAAAGTTAAGTATCTAGGGGTCATCTTAACAACGAAAAATGCCCAGCTATACAAAAATAATTACGAATCAAAGTGGTTAAAGATCAAAGAGAAACTAAAAAGATGGGAAACACTAAATCTCTCCCTTTTAGGGAGAATAGCAGCCATACAAATGAATGTCCTCCCTGACATGCTCTATCTTTTCCAGACCTTGCCCATCATTAAAACAAAAAAAACGTTCGAAAATTGGCATAAAGACATCAAAAAATTCATTTGGAAGGGAGGGAGACATAGAATAAACTTCACTAATCTCTGTGACAGCAAGAGAAGAGGTGGCCTCGCTCTACCAAATCTACATCTTTACCACGATGCAGCAGCACTATGCTGGGTAAAGGAGTGGATAAATCTTAAAGATGAGAAATTGCTAGCCCTGGAGGGGCATGATTTGATGCAAGGCTGGCATAATTACTTATGGAGAGAAAAAGCAAAAAAGGAAAGGAACTTCAAAAATCACTTTGTAAGAGCCCCACTCATTCAAATCTGGGAAAGCTACAAAAACAAATTACACTCAAAAGTCCCTCTATGGTTCTCCCCAAACGAGGCCAGTCAAATCTGAGGCACCAGTAGAGAAAAATGGCTAACCTATAAGGAGATATTAAAAAGAACCCCAAATGGACTCGTCCTAAAGACCCAAGAAGAATTAAAAGAACATGACACCACACTCTCATGGTTTCAGATCCACCAGATGAAAGAAAACTATAATATAGATCAAAGAATAGGTTTCGAAACAGAGGAATCCACATGGTCCAAAATCATACAAGCTGAAAGCAAACACATACGAAAAATATATCAACTCTTGCTCAGATGGGAAACAGAAAGAGAACAAGTGAAAGACAATATGGTGAGATGGGCGAAGGATGTAGGGCGCTCAATTAATCTTTCGGAATGGGAGGAAATTTGGGCAAAAAAAATACAATATACACACTCCAATGATTACAAGGAGAACTGGTTTAAACTATTTTATAGATGGTACCTCACCCCGGAACAGCTAGCCAAATTTAGCAAAGGGAAGTTGGAGGGAAAATGCTGGAAATGTGAAAGATCTACTGGAACCTTTATACATATGTGGTGGGGGTGCAAGAAGGTGAAATCCTTCTGGTGCGCAATTCATAAAGAAACAGAAAAAAATTTTAAAAAGAAATTCACTCTTAAACCTGAATATTTTTTACTAGGCATTACCGATTTTGAGATGGATAGTAATGAAAATAAAATCTTTTTTCACCTTTCGACAGCTGCCAGAATCCAACTGGCAAGCCTCTGGAAATCCAGAGAGATCCCTTCAATAGAACAATGGACGTTAAAAGTGTATGATGTCATGAATATGGACCTATTGACAGAGAGACTAACAGCTTATAGTGACAAGAGGAAAATTACAGACTGGAGTAGCTTTATAGACTATTTAGAGAAGAAGAATTAAGATTTAACGAAGCTGTAATGTACTTCGACTAATGCTATGTTAAACAAAAACGTTGTATAATAGAAGTAACACCTCTCTGTTCTACCTGGAAGTACTGTAGTTTTAAAGTCTTTTCCTTCCCCCCCCTTCCCACGATGTGTCCCCCCCCCACTTCCCCCTCCCCCACCACACCCTGATGAGTCGGTACACTCCCCCCCAATGTTGCCCAATGCCCCACCCTACCCTACCCTCCCCCTTTTCTCCAAAGTCCTTTTTTAACTATGTTTGTATGCAAAAACTTTCTAATAAAGATATTAAAAAAAAAAAACAATATATAAAATGGAAAGTATCTATTGTTCTAAGTGAGGATAAATACTACATAATTAAGTTACTAACTTTTCATATCAAGATCAGAAGATGAAATATTACTCTTCATGATGTAATAGGATTCAACAGCTCATATATTTGATAAAAAGATAAAAACATAATGATATTGATGCTAAATATGTGAGGGACGGGGATAAAATAAAGGCTTGGAAGAAGAATATTATTTGTGGAGGCCTGAAATAATTTGAGTGCCATATACCATTTAAACTCTAATATAAGATAATAGCTTTTCTAAACCTTTTTTCTTTTCTTTTCTTTTTGTATATATGTAAGCTGTTAGTGTTTTTAAAACTATTTTTAAAATGACCATAAATCATTTTGAACTATTAACCAGTTGCTCTATATGAAACACATATGTTCTTTCATGCTTATACAAAACAGCATTTATTTTCAGAGAACTAGACTTAATGTTTGTTATACCAACAAATAATGCTACTTTCAATTGTCACTGGCTGAGATTTCACCAAGATAAGATGCTAAATCTCTGCTATCATGCATAAAACCATTTTATCCATAATATTAGCCAGATTTCTTAATCCAGAGAGATAGACAGAAAATGAAAAAGGTGAATGAGTTATGCTTCTAGCTGGCAATGTTCTTTGTCATAGTCGAAACTAATAAATCAGGTTCTTTAGATGCAAAAGGTTTCTCATTCAGCCCAAGCAATTATATAAAGATGTACCTGAGAAATGTTCCATTCTAGTTGTTGTCGAGAAAATATCCTGTTGATTAGTTGTTCCTAAAAAAAATCAAATTATAAAATTAAGAATAATATTATATAGTGAATCTTGCTAGTGTCATTATTAATTCCATAGAATAACTAAATAATATAGTGTAGTAAAACAAGACAAGACAAGAGACTTGAAATGATTCAACTTTGTACGTTTTTTATTTGCAGTAAACAAACTGCTACATTTTCGGTGATTGTATACTAAATATTTGTGAAAAATACACACTCATTAAATTTTCCTAGCAATAAACAAAGAAAAAAATCAAATGAGCTGTTACATCTCTATAAGAATGACAAGGAAGAAAAACTTTATATAGTCCCAAGAGAACGTTTCGACAACCCACCCCAGAAAGCACACACTTTCTGTGGTGGGTATGGACAGGCCCCCAGAAACATCACGTTAAAAAAGCACGGGTGCTTCTGGGACAAGGGCCTGTCTGGATCCAGCCTGAGTTACAAAGTGAGAAAAAGACAAACTAACTGATGTTGAAAAGTATGGCATCCCTCTAGTTCTTTCTAAAGAAAAATAAATTATAAATTTAATCATAATATATGCTGAATGTATCTATACAGATCCAAAGCTTATAAAATTATCTTAATAATCTGTGTCATTGCTTTTTTTTATCACACAATATATATCCCTCTATTGTTTAGGATACGGCAAGTATTACCCCATGTTTCTTTAAAATCTATAGGTTTTTTTTTAACAAGGTCATTTATTTTGCCTTGTAAGCATTTGGAGCTCCCGGTGGCACAGTGCATTTAAACCACTGAGCTGCAGAACTTGCTGACCAAAAGGTCGGCGGTTCACATCCAGGGAGCGGGATGAGCTCCCACTGTTAGTCCCAGCTTCTGCTACCACTCCAGCAGGAAGGTAGCAGTGCTCCATGTGGTCATGTTGACCATATGACCTAGGAGACACCTACGAACAACGTCGGCTCTTTGGCTTAGAAGTGGAGATGAGCACCACCCCCCAGAGTCAGGTATGACTAGACTTAATATCAAGGGGAAATCACTATCTGATTTGAACTGGATTATACAAGTCCACACTGCCACATAATTCAGTTCAAAGCAGATAATGTGGATTTTATACAGCTGTGTAGAAGGGGCCTAAGTGAGTGGCAGCCATTCAGTTTTATCATTGGAAATCTCTTAAATAAATAGATGCTATGTGAATGCAATCCCTACCTGTAAGATTCGGGATTTCAACTGAAGACGAGTCTGAGAACACAAAAGCACAAATGTCAAAATTGCAGAGTAAAAGTGATTTCCTATCTAAACTGACTAAACCTACTCTAGAGTAAAAAATATCAATGATGTCTTGCCTGAAGCGCCATTAGGGTAGGTGACAAAAGTGACAATGGATGAGTCTGCTGCAAATTTAAAAAATGATTATTTCAAAAATGCAAATTAAAGGTAGACAAGTCTCTATTGCCCTGTAGTTGAAGTGAGAATGATGTAACTGGCAAGTGGACCACCTGGGCTCCCATAAAGCCCCACTTCCCTATTTTCCAGGCCAATGTTTATTTCCAGAAGGCACAATTCTCTTCTAACTCACCCACCCTACACACACACACACAGACACATACTTGTTTATTCTTTGTTTGTTTGAGTGGAAAACCCATTTATTCCCCTAAACTGAAGTGGTTGACATGAAAGGGGTTGGCTACTATAGTTGCTGAGGTTGCAAGAATGGCCCTTGACCTCAGGAGTTTGTCCACTCTTTCTTTAGGAAGCTAATCTATTGCCAGATTTTGCCTAAGCAATAGGATGAATTCCCTAATAGTGACAAGTATTTGATAATAAAAATTATCAAGTAAGTAAACAAGAAACATGTTAGATGCATTATAATGGATAATCAATATTACATAAAGTCACTTTCATAACAATAAAATTTTGTTTAAGCAGAAATATACAATTAATAATTTCTTAATCATGAGAAGTTAATTTTAATGAAATTATTAATATTTAAAGATTAATTCATATTAAATATATTTAAGCCATTTTACACTTATGTAGATAGTTTTTCTGTATTTTAACTGTTTAAAATGCTTACAAATAAAGGAAATTACTCTTTGAGTAGCTTGCCAACCTGAAAAATAACTTTTGACCTCACAGCAAATGCCAACCCCTGTTTTAGACTTTGCTTCTTTTATTTCCTTATATCTTTCAGTAGCACGTGCTGAAGATTAACTCCAGATCCATGATGAGTTATTCCTAAAGGTATATTTTGCTTATGTAGACTGCTAATGTTAAATGTATATTGCTCACATTCATGTGTGCATCCATTCCATTGATACCTGGAATTATAATTGATACATCAGACTCGAACCAAGGATCTGGAAAATAACTTTAAGAAGAACAAATACAATGACAAACTGAAGCTAGTCATGACTGAATTCATGATAAGGACTGAGAATTCCTTATTCAAAATGCTTGTAGGATGTTGGATTATATATTTTTGAATAACTGCATTTGCATATAAGTACATAATGGGACTTGCATCTAAACATGAAAATATTGCATGCATAGCCAGAAGTTATTAGGTACAATGCATTGTACCTTATATGCATAGCCAGAAGTTATTAGGTACAATGCAGTTAATAATTTTGTGCATGAAACAAAGTTTGTGAACAAGGAACAATCAGAAAGCAAACTTCTCACTCTCTCAGCCACCCAATTTCAAATTTTGAGATTTTGGACTTTGGAATTCTGGATGGAGGATGCTCAGTCTGGAGGAGGAGGATGCTCTGTGATGCAAACCATCATCCGCGCTCTGCTCAGTTACAAATCTCTTCAGCATGTCATTACACTGAACATTAGAAGGAATTTCTTACCGGTAAGGAGGTTTGACAATGGAAGCAATTGCTTAGATAGATATTGTAGTCTCCTTCTCTGAATACCTTTTTAAAAAGATGCTGGGCAGCTACTCTACCTGGAGATCCTACACTGAACAGCGATTTGGATTGAGAAACCCATGAGTTCTTCCCCAACCCTATGACTATATATCTCTACAACCTTACATTATTCTTCAAAACAACTACTGTAATTTGTTTCTTCTACACATTTCATGGTGAATATTATATTATATTATATTATATTATCTTTTCTCAAATAAAAATAAAAATAGCTATTGACATACCTTCTGTGCCTGGGGTATCTCTCATTCCTGATGAAACACCAGAAACATTAGGTGCAACATAAAATTTTGTTTTTTAAATTTATTTTCTTGTCCAGCAGTTTTCAATTTACATTATCTACCACAAGAGGGCACCACAAAACTTTAAAATCGATTCCATAATAAAAAGTTCTACAAAAACTACTTGGAAGAGCACACACACACAATGTTCAGGGAAACCCTAATGACAGAAAACACATTGTGAAAGAATGCACAAGTAACTAATAAAATTTGGTCTTGAACTTAAAGCTGGGCTGTGAAGGGCTACAGGAAAATTGTTTTAAGAGCTTTATACTTTAATAGCCAGGTATCTCCTCCACTCCTCACAAACAAATGCCACTTTTGCATACACAGAACTCAAGAAAATATGAGATGTCCCCTGTCAAGGCAGTTCAAGGTGTCCCCACCAGACCACTATGCAGGCCAGAACCGGCATGTTTCACCCCGTTTCCGGCCCACATGTATTTCTGTAGAACCACTACCTGTCCAACTCTAAAACCACTATCTCGCACTTAAAGGCTTAAATCAATGGTTTTCAACCTTGGATCCCCAGTTGTTTTGGCCTTCAACTCCCAGAAATCCTAACAGCTGGTAAACTGGCCAAGATTTCTGGGAGTTGGAGGCCAAAACACCTGGGGATCCACAGATTGCGAACCACTGCCTTAAATGACTCTGGACCAGGATACCTAGTAGACCTTTCCCATGCCCTATATGAGCTTGCCCATAATTTGATGTCTTCAGGGGAGGCTGTGTTACATACCCCACCGCCCCAAAAGGTGAATAAATTTCCTCTCTGCCATCACAATCTCAAACCCGTTTAGAGGGACTGGAAAGAGGGCCTGCTCCAAGACGCTGGAACTCTCTCCCGAAAGAGACCAGAGTGGCCTCTTACCTGGTGGCCTTCCGCCACAGGCAAAATCTGCATCAGGCACCTATGGAATGATGAGAGGAAGGCTGATTTATTTATTTATGTATTCATTCATTCATTCATTCATTCATTTCTACCCCGCCTTTCTCACCCCACAGGGGACTCAAGGCGGCTTACAACTCCGGCAAAATTCAACAATGAGAATGCTGTAGGTGTAATTCAGGGTGAGGGGTGTGTGTGTAATTTTAACTGTACAGTAGAGTCTCGCTTCTCCAAGATAAACGGGCCAGCAGAATGTTCAATAAGCAAAATGTTGAATAATAAGGAGGGTTTAAGGAAAAGCCTATTAAACTTAAAATTACATTATGATTTTACACACTAAGCATCAAAATATCATGTTTTACAACAAATCATCAGAAAAAGCAGTTCAATACATGGTAGTGCTATGTAGTAATTACTGTATTTATGAATTTAGCACCAAAACATCACAATGTATTGAAACAACTGTGGATCCAGGCTGGAGGCAGACTGCATTTGATATTACAGAACATTGGATGAGCGAAGTTTGGATAAGCGAGACTCTACTGTATTTTAATTTTTGGACTTTATGACACAATTTTTTTAAAGTTATATTCATATTTTTTATGTATTGGCTCTATTTTTAATCTGGAATTTGTTGTGTTGATTGTTGGCCATTTTGAGTCCCTGTATCTGGAGAAAGGTGGAATCAAAAATTAAATAAATTGATAAGACAGCCACTTTGAGTCTCTTTGTGTGAGAGAGAGTGGGATACAAATACAATAGATCGATCAATAGATGATAGATAGACAGACGGATACCCCTGTTTCATAGAGATATCTTTCTCAGTAGCTTCAACTTACTTATGAAACTCCTTCCCCAAGAAACATCAAAACAGTCCTCTACTGGGTTTCCTATTAGCAAACAAGACTGCGGAGTCTTTTGCCTTCAAGCAGGATTGACTTTTAGGACCATTTTAGTTGTGTATTGTTGCTGAAACTGATTTTTAAATTGTATTTAAAATGTTTTAAAATAATGTTTTCATCTGTTTTTACCTGCATGCCCCGACTGACTGTGAGACATTAAGTACATTCACTATCATTAAACCATCATGCAATGAAGAAACACATGGTAAAAAATCTTTCACAATAAAAATTAATCACCCACCCATGATCTCTATGCTTTTTTTCAGGGTATTGTATTAACAGGTCATCACCTTTTAGTCTTCCACTTTATGGAACAGAGAAATGATTGGTGGGGGAGTTCAGAGCTCTAGTCCTTTATTATACACAACTGTCCAATTTGAACCAGACAGTGATCGTTCCTTTGTGAGCTCCAAATGTTTCATGTAGCAGAAGCATGCAAAAAGAAAAAAACAACAAAAAACAAAAAACAAAACCCTTGGAAAATCATTACTACCTTATCTAATAGCATTTATTTCATCCTATTACTTTAATCAAATCTACCCGCCTATTTTATTTTTAATTGACAAATTGATTTAATTGTTTCCAAACTGCTCCTTTCACATGATAAAAATATGCAAATCCAAAATGTCAGGACCAAAGTCAGATAAGTTGGCAAATAAATACTTGAGCGGAAATTCTAGAGGAGGAAATACTCAAAGAAGGTTTTATCTTGCTCTGTTTGAACAAGCTGAAAAGGCCAGTTCAAGTTTTCCCTCATTGTTAAAGAGCATGATAACATAAACTACTCAGCAGGGCACTTTTTTAAGGCTCTTGGAGCAATTAAGGAATTCTTATCAGTCTTTCATTGTTACTTTTTTTTTCTTCCAAAGATTCATTGTTCTACATGACACATGGCATTTCTGCAACTATGGCTTGATTTTAGTGACGACCGTGGAAGAAACAAATGTGACATTGCAGAAATGGAAACACAGCTTACTTTTTAAAAAAGATAACCACTTGACTCTTTGATCTGACCTTCCAACATGTAATAAATTGTTACTGCAGTCCAGAAAGTTTACTAGCCAAGTTCCTAGTTATCAGCTAGTTTTATAATAGTCTATTACTATTATGCCTCTGTAAAAAAAAAAACCCTCAAAGGCATAATAGTAATATATTGGTTCTCACAAATGGCCAATTCAAATACTGTGTCACAGAAATTCTGAGAAAAATGCAAAATTCATTACAAAGCAATCTCTCATGATTCAGCACAAGGTAATCATTAGTCATGTGTATTCAGGGTAAATTTTGATCCGTTTCATGTCCCAGCTTTTGGTCAGGGCTGCGATACATTTCGACTGAGCCTCCCGAAATCGGGAGGTCAGATATTTGTTTTCTGTTTTCAGTGCTGACAGATTTGTTTTCTTTCAGCCAATTTTGGAGGGGGGGGGGAAGACTTGACACATTGGCCCAAAGTGCCTGGACCTACGGGTGCAGGGTTTGGACCTACATGTCCGGCCCTGGTAGGGCCTGCAGCCGAGCACTGAGTAAGGAGCGGCAGGTCCCGGCACTTTGGTTCGGGCTGGTACCCGCTCCCGCCTGCCTTTCGTACCGATTTTATTTTCATTCCAGAAGGGGCCTTCCTGTTTTGTACCATTTGAATGGACGGAACAAATCGGAAACTTGAATGAAATGGATGAGACAAATTTTGGTTCCATGACTAGTAATCATCCATCTGACTCTTCCTCTTCCCATTTCCATTGTTGAGACTGCCCATGCACACATCCCACAGCAACACAACTCTCTCTCTCACACACACACACACACACACACACACACACACACTTGAGATTTGAAATACTTTGCTAGGAAAATGTTTACTTCTTATTTATGAAGGGAAATTATTGCTAACTCATGTACACAGAAATATATTAATGGTAAATTCAGGAGAAAACTAAGCATCTGACCCAACACTCATCATTTGCATGTCAAAAAATCCAGCCTACATAAACATGCCAATTGAACTACTCCAAGAAAACAATAGCCTTGAAACACATAGCCAGCAATGATGAAGAATTTCAGATTTTTACACCTCACACACTATTGATCGTGTCATCCACAACCAGAACATTGTATTACATTTCTAACAGAACAAAACAAACAAACAGATAAAAAAACAACACAAATTTTGCAAACTTGGTAGCTGATTAAATGTCCTTTGACCAGTATCTGGCCACTTGGAGTGCCTCTGGTGTTGCCGCAAGAAGGTCCTCCATCGTGCATGTGACAGGGCTCAGGTTGCATTGCAGCAGGTGGTCAGTGGTTTGCTCTTCTCCACACTCACATGTCGTGGATTCAACTTTGTAGTCCCATTTCTGAAGGTTGTCTCTGCATCTCATGGTGCCAGAGCGCAGTCTGTTCAGCGCTTTCCAAGTCGCCCAGTCTTCCGTGTGCCCAGGAGGGAGTCTCTCATCTGGTATCACCCACGGATTGAGGTGCTGGGTTTGAGCCTGCCACTTTTGAACTCTCGCTTGCTGAGGTGTTCCAGCGAGTGTCTCTGTAGATCTAAGAAAACTATTTCTTGATTTAAGTCGTTGACGTGCTGGCTGATACCCAAACGGGATGAGCTGGAGATGTCTGTGCCTTGGTCCTTTCACTATTGGCTGCAACTTCCCGGCGGATGTCAGGTGGTGCAATACCGGCTAAGCAGTGATCGACAGTCACACACTGATCAACAGTCACCTAACTAATGCCATCCTACCAGTAACTCATTAAACCTGTTCTGTTCACCTGGCATGTAAAACTGATGTTATGGACAGGGAGGAGTGCTGCCAAGCATGATTAGGCTACAAAATATATGTCCAATTTAGTGTACTGTAAGTTGCAGAGGGCTGTAATTTTTTTAAAAAAAATAAGTCTCACCAATTTAAATATTGAATTTTCCCACCAGGGTATCTCACAAATATAGTTCAGTTTATCTACTGCCATTAGTGGAAAGAAGACTGTATTGTACGTCAAGTTATGGATACAGAGATAATCTTTTTAATAAAAGGGGATTACTTTTGTACTTGCTGTAAAACTGAATACTCTGTGGATAAAATCCATTTTCTTGTCGTGCTCATCACCAAGGCATTTAAACACAACACACAGTGCAATGTTATGGGGGGAGGGGGTCTGCTTTAACTGATGTTTTTGCATATAACATCGCAGAAGCTCCAAGAGGAGAC